GGGGGGGGGGGGAAGGGAGGAGAATTTTGTTGTTGTTTGTTCCTATGAGCTGTATTGCTTTTTCACATGCCTTGGATGGAACCACATGGCTCACTGCTTTGTAAGTCCAAGCATTCAGTTCCCAGCTGGCATACATACACAGCTTTCCAATACCACTCCCTTGATTGCATATGCATGGATGGAAGGATCCAAAAAGGCGCCACTAAAGACATGACTTTTCTTTTTGAACTCAGGGCCTGGGCACTGTCCCTGAGCTTCTTTTGCTCAAGGCTATTGCTCTACCACTTGAGCCACAGCATCACTTCCGGCCCTTTCTGTGTATATGGTACTGAGGAATTGAACGCAGGGCTTCATGCATGCAAGGCAAGCACTCTACCACAAAGCCACATTCCCAGCCCCAAGACATGACATAGGAGATTCTCTACTTTGCACTTACCTGTACTTTTCAAGTTCTGTCTACACCACAAATATCTATTAAGTAAACCATTAATGGGAGCACACTGGCGCTAGTTAAGCCTGAGTGCTTCTGAACAGCAAGTCCGAGGGAAAAGCATGACAGAAGCAGAAAACAGAACGTCTCAGTTCAGAGCACACTGCAGCGTCCAGCAGCCCAGTGCGGGTCGGAGTCCTGGCCTCAAGGCAGGGGCTCTGGTTTTCAAGGGCCGAGTCTCTGTATCCCACAGCAGCCCTTCTCTTTTGAGTACATGAAAGCAAGCAGCAGCATGCAGAGACCTCTATGTGAGAAGGCTGGATCCGGGTTCAAGCCCGGTTGAGTGTGAGCAACAACTCTTCTGCTGAAGCACATCAGCCAAGCGCGCAAAAGACACGGCTACCACCTCACAGTGGAGGATGGCGATCCAGGCAAGCCATGGGACAGCCAAGAGGACACACAACTCAGGAAGAACATTCCAGCCATTAGAGGCCCGCGCCTGGAGTGGACGGCCTCCACAGGCCCCCCTCTGCTGAAAAGCGGGCCCCAACATCTCATACTCGTTGGAGGCCCTGCTGTTACAGTGGGACCCAGTTGTCTCCGCCACTTCTCTCTCTCAGATCTGCTGGGTCTCCAGGCCAGGCTCTCTTTGCCTTCATCTTTTAAATAGATACAACGTTCTTTCAGAGCCCCCAGGCTGACCCATAGCTCCACAAAAGCACCATTTAGTTCAGTGAACACTAACAGCAGGGCTGGGACCACACAAGGCTACACCTCCCTCTCTAGCACTGCTTAGTCAGGCACTGCTGCCCTCTTGTGGACATGAAGCATATGACGGCTCCAAGTTCTTGTCGGCCTTACCTCCTGCTTCTACCTTCCCACACATAAAAGATACTGGCTTGTTGTGAACACTGAAGTTATTGGCTCTAGCCCACGAGGTCATTCTACCTCCAAGGCTCCTAGAGTCCCTAAACTTGAGCCATGATACAAACCCCGTTTCTACAGTGGTGGGAATCTGCAGGAGCTATTTCTGCACGTGGAGGGGCTATGGAGAACCCTGCTGCTATGGAAAGGACACATGACCATGGATGCTATCTGACAGCCAGTCAGTGGAAAGCAAGGTCCATCCGTAAGGGGCCACAAGGCCTTCACTGCAGTCTGAAATACTGCTTTATTACAAGCTGGTGACCCTCGGGCTCCCGCAGGCTAGTCCACTCCAGGGCTCGTTCATCTCCAGCCTCAGAGCCAGTCATGGTCAGATGCGTTGCTTCCCCTGAGTAGGAACTGCAGCAGACTGGTCAGGGAAGCACCCACGATTCCCAGGCTGCCCACACGCTGGCACACGCACGAGTTTCCTATCAGGTTTTGTCTCTGTGGCCATGAGTAGCTGGAAGGGACTTGTCACTGTTCGCATTAGTCACCTGCTCCTGGCTGCCCTCGTAGTGGGGCAGCAGAGAGCCCAGTAAGGCTTTGCTGGCAGGTGTTCAAGCCCACACTGAAAAGCATGGTTTGGACTAAACTGGTTTTTAGCTGAGTAAGGAACCGTCTTGTTTCATTAGGAACACCCTCTTCGTTGTACTTCTAATTTTCCCTTGAGCACTGCCCTGTACGTTCTTCTTGATGTCCTATCGAGGTGATGTTTTTGTTTCAATCCAGGAACTCTACCCACGGCATTTTCTGTTGTCCTCTAACAGGAAATTTAGCCCAGGGCCTCAGTCAAGCCCCAGTGAAGATCCCAAAGCAGACAACACTGAACCCAGGACCCTTACCACCCACTCCTGCTGAAAACAAACATCTCAGGGAGGTATTTATGACACTAGTCTGCAGAAATTTTTTCACTTCCGTGAAATCTCACCCACCCAAATGACAGTCAACTGCAAGCAATAAATGTTTACTGACTCATTAAACTGCCCTGACCTGTGAAGACACTGTCTTCTCGAACTGGTCTTCTGAAGAGATCATTTAAATGGTATCAAAGGGCTTGCCAAGAAGATGTTTTCAATAAGAAACAAGACACAAGCCAGCGGGAGTGCTACTTACCTGACACAAGGCCAATGTTAGTAAATGTTTAGTGAAGCTAGTTCCATTTGTGCTGCTGTGGCCCAGGCTGCGCCGGGACTTACACAAGCTCTAGGCTTTAGGCTAATCCTGAAAGGCATATGAAACACACTTGGTGTTTTGTTTCCTTTTGATACTGGGGTTTGAGCTCTGGGCCTTGCGCTCTAGTCCCAGAGTTGTTGGTGCTAAATAGCTGGGCCATGTTGTTAGTGGGAGAGCCACAGTAGGACCTTGAGTCCTTCTTGCTTTTACCACGCTGACCTTTTCTCTCTACCTCTCCAGGAATGCCTGGAAGAGCAGAGAGGAGAGGGCGGCCCCCAGGATGGCACAAGCTTGTGTTTCCACCCAACCGTTTCTGGTGTTCAGGCACCCAGCTAAGATTTTTATTTGAAGCAAGCTCACTCGCTTCATTATGTACTGAATCTTTGGTCACCACAGGCAGGTTCCAGTGCTCCGGAGTATGTTTTAAACCACAAACGCCAGAAACATTCACAACTCTCATCTGTGGGTCAAACTCCAGTTTGCTGCAAGAGCTAGAGTGAAAAGGTTGGAAGGAGCAGCCTGGAAACGCGGCACCAGGTTGCACCACAGCACTGCCTGTTACAGTCACCACCAAGAAGAGACGCATTTGCTTGTTCTTGTTGCTTTTCTCATTAGAAGATACAGAGTCACTTTGGGTAACTTCCATTTAATTTAACATTTATTTTCATTTATATTCAGATGTCACATTTTCTACATTAAAATATAATCATGCTGACCCCCCCATCCCCTCAGAGAAAAAGGGGAAGAACTTTACACAGCTGGAGAGATGGAATGCACAGAGTAGGGAAGTTACTACTGCACCCGAGGAAGCACAACAGACCCCAAGAGCACACAAGGCATAGCTGCACACGAGATGGCCGGGGTCATGCCACAGAGAGCAGCAATGAGTGAAACGCGGTCACCTGTGCCACAAGATTACCCTGAAGAGAACTGGGGTGGAAAGCTGGACTGACCAGGGATTTCTATGAGTAGAATTTAAAGTATCCGCCAATCTAGGGGCGCTTTCCTCCCTGCTGTGCCCCCACACCGGGCAGGTACTGTAAAAACATCAGCACACAGAATGCAAACAGCCTGTCCTTCCTTCTTTAATCGCACCCAACTCTTTTCAAGCCATAATTCTACTAGTGATTTTCATTCTGTGATTTCCCAGCCTGGACACCAGGATCCATGACCAGGACAAAGCATCGGGCCACTATCAGATGAATGCCAGCTGTGTAAAGCCCCATGATTCTGTGCTACTCAAAGGCAGAAGGATGCTGCGCAGGTAACGAGAGAAGAAAAGAAACTCCTTTTCTCCCACAGCAGACAGCAAGCACACAGCCAAATCCATTTGCCTGGAGCAGAGCAGAGCCACAGGCACAGCAACACCCCAAAGAAATAAATGCCCAGGAAAGATCTTGGTTCTTCTTCTAGACCAGATCTTGCCGCTGAATTTAAGAGCAAAGAATTTTAACTTCACGATAATGATACTCTTGAAGGGGCTGACAAGTAAGGTCTGGATAACCCAAACGACAAGGACATTATTCGGCAACTCACTATACCACTATATACAAATACATACATCAAGAAGAAAACTCCAGCTCCAGCCCTGCAGCTACTTCGAACAAAGCACTAAAGGGTCTCTGAACAGGGAGATTTTAAAGTCTGTAGCAGTTTAAAACATTGCAACACTGGCACAATACGTTACCTAGTCTTCATGTTTAATTACAGGGCAACAGGTAAACTCCCCACACTGAGGTGGGCATGGAGGAGTGCAAAAAGAACCAGGAAAACAGACCCAGTACATCACAAGAGGCCACGCACACCACCACAGCAGCAGCAGCAGCTAGTGCTTTGCGGAGTCTCGAGGGTAAAACTCGCTCAGGGTGCTCTGAGGGATTCTCTTCAGCATTTCCTTGGGGAAGATTCGGAGCAGCTGCCAGCCAACGTCCAAAGTCTCAAAGACAGTGCGGTTTTCATAAGGACCTTAAAAAATTGAGAATAAATTAGTGACAAAGTACTTCCAAGTCACCATGACTAGCAAACAGGGGCATAAAACGCAGGGAAGAAAACGTGAGTGAGGACTCTCAGGATTAGATGAGGCTAAATGTGGAAATGAAGGCACAAAGTTTCAAGGGGCCAAAGAGGAAGGAGAGAGAGGTCTAGCGGTCATGGTTCCTCTCCCCTCTCTTTCTCCCTCTCCCTCTCCTCGCCCCCACTTTCTCTCTCTCTCTCTCTCTCTCTCGCTCTCTCTCTCTCTCTCTCTCTCGTGTGTGTGTGTGTGTGTGTGTGTGTAGACGGTATTCAAGTAGGATCCCTGAATGATGAAAATGACCCATGTTTTAATCAGAGATTAGGCAGAAACGCAATCTCCCCATAACACAAAGGTTTGTGCAGAAAAACTGACTGAAAATACTGGAATAGGAAAATGATATAAAAAGTAAGCAAACCTCTTCTCACTGGAAATAAATCAGTGCTGGTCACATGTGTGTGTTGGAGGAGGGGAAGCACAGAAAGAGAAGCTCTTTAGAATATTAACAATTAAAAAGCAAGAAGAATGAGAAAAGAAGATGCGGAGAGATGAATTGAGAAACTCCCAAGCACCCAAAGCAAAAAATCAGAGATCCCTGCCTGGCAGGGATTAGAAATGCGGTGAAGAAAGGTGACTGTAATGGCAGCTGCTGGACAATCAAGTCAGGATCTCACAATGTTTACAAGGAGGGCACAAGGAGCCAGACAAAAAGACTCGATAGGTGATTGGAGGCACTTCTCCCTATACAGTCTGAGTAAGGAAGGTTTCAAAACTACATGAGGCTTTTTAATGTTTGTAGGAAAACAACCATCTTACCCTGAGAAATAAAGTTTCTCTCAAACTTCTGCAGAAATTCCAAGTAAAGAAGATCATCCGAGGTAAGGGCTTCTTCTCCCACTACAGCTTTCATGGCTTGTACATCCTTGCCAATGGCGTAGCACGCATACTGAAGAGGAGAAAACTTTGTAAACCATCATCTGCCATATATAAATGTGCCGCTTGCCGGAGAGCACAGAGAGCATGTACAAACACAATTCACAAAGCTCACCAGAAAGTGCCCAAAGGATCTCCCTATGAAGTATTCCCTTCCATTCCATGCTTTAGGCATGCCATCCCAAGACATTACTAACACTACAAAAAGCATGCTTGCTTCAGAACATCAGTGAGCTTACAAATCATTGAGCACCTAAAACTCCAGTCACAGAACTCTAGTCAAACCATGAAGAAATCTAGCATAAAGCTCCTTTTAGGAAAAAACACTGTGACACACAATCTCACATGACTAAGGAGATCAAAGACTTCACAGCGCACCCCGAACACTGCCCTTCAGTGTTCCGTGCAGCATCCTCTCATGAGCTCTCTATAATTATTACTAAAACAACCTGGGTACTTATTTATTAATTAAAAAATTACTTTTTTTTTTTTTTTGGTCAGTTGTGGTGTCTGAACTCTGGGCCTAGGTGCTGTCCCTCAGCTCTTCAGCTCAAGGCTAGCGCTCTACCACTTGAGCCACTGCACCACTTCTGGCCTTTTCTGCTTATGTGGTACTGAGGAATCAAACTCAGGGCCTCATGCACGCAAGGTAAGCACTCTACCACTGAGCCACCTTCCCAGTCCCTAAAAAATTACTTTTTATAGCATTAGGCAAAGGTTTATATCTTGGTGATTTTATTCTTAGGCTGCGTTAGCTCAAATGAAAATCCTGCACATCAATCCTCTGTTGAAGTTTGACTTGGCTGGGATGAATGGGAAGAGGATAAGAAGCAGAAAGCAGGCATTTGCTTCTATTAAACATCATCTTTGGGAATGCACTGCATACATACCAGCTGGTTAGACACATCGGCATGGTCCTTTCTGGTCATTCCTTCTCCAATAGCAGACTTCATTAACCGTGAGAGCGAGGGCAGCACATTAATAGGAGGGTAAATCTTGAGTAGAATAGGAAGAAAAAATAAATATATTAAAGTACAAAAAATAATATTTACTAGCAGTAACAAAGCATTTAAAATACACTATTCACTCTCAAATTTGCTTCGTAGGTGACAAGTAACAAGGAGAATTTATAGCACAATATTCCTTTTGAAAGTTTCTAAAACAAGACTATTCTGAAAAGTGCATGTTTTAAACATCTGCCTCAATGACCCATAGACAAAGTAAGATTTCCCATGGTTAACAAGCATCTACTATAGAACCATCCAAATCTACTTCTAGTGAGATGGCAGGTGGTAGCAGTACACACAGGTACCCAAGAGCTCTAAAACAACAAACTACATTTTAAATCACAATAAAGGGATCATTCCTGATTTTGGCCTGTTATCCACATTTGAATTTTAATACACAAATAATTTTGTAGTCGCATTGGGCTGGGCAGGTGGCTCGGTGGTAGAGTGCTTGCCTAACATGCATGAGGCCCTGGGTTCAATTCTGCTTATGAAAAAGCAGAAAAAGCAGGAATTGGCGCTGTGGCTCAAGTAGTAGGGCACTTGCCTTGAGCTGAAGAGCTGAGGGACAATGCCCAGGCCCAGAGTTCAGGCCCCACGACCGACAAAACAAACAAAAAATTCACGTTCATATACTTTTTTATTTTGGTGGTACTGGGTTTGAATTCAGAGCGGCAAGCTTACTAAGCTGGCACTGCCCCACCTAAGCCACACCTCCAGCCATATTTGTGGTTCTTTTGCTGGTTATTGTCAAGATAGGGTTTCATGAACTCTTTTGCCTGGGCTACTGTGAACCACAATCCTTCTATTCTCAGCCTCACAGGTTATGTGGGATTATAGTGAGTCACTCATTATGCTTTCTTTTTTTTGCTGGCCTTGGGGTTGGTACTTAGGGTCTCCCATTTGCTCAGCTGGTGGTGTTCTTCTACCCCTTGAGCCACTCCTCCTACCTGGCCTTTAGCTGCTTATTTGGGAGCTAGAGTCTCACAGACTTTTCTGTACAGGTTGCCTTTAAATTGTGATCCTCTAGATTTCAGCCTCCTGAGTACCTAGGATTACAAACACGAGACATCTGCACTGACCTTCAGTTGATGCTTTCTAAGCAAAAGATCTGCCATGTGCACAAAAATGTCCATCACTACAGAACAATGATAAAATGATAAAGGGCTCAGCAAGCCTGAGCAGTGCTCAAGTGTCAGTACCTGTCTGTTGTGCAGCTGTCTGTCCACGTAGATCTGCCCCTCAGTAATATACCCTGTCAGGTCAGGGATGGGGTGAGTGATATCTGCAAGGGAAGACACAGGGTGTTAGGCATAACCAACGCACAGGAAGTCAGTCCGTGTTAATTATAGCACTGCAGAGAAGAGCTACACAGAATAAATCATCTGTGCTGGAACCTCCCGCACCTGTGCTATCGAATACAGCAGTCAATAATCCTATGAAGCCACGGAACACCAGAAATAAAGAGCTTCATCTCAAATTTTATTTAACTGACATGAACTGAAATACAGACAAATGTGCCTAGTGGCTACAACATTAGGCTATCAACTTTGCTGCAGCAACTGAGACATGGGTTGGCATTATGAAGTACACTGACTGCACTTATGTGCTTTTTCCCTCCAAATAAAAATAAAACTTCCTTCTGGTACAGGGTCTTACTCTATGTAGCCCAGGTTGACCTGGAATTGTGATCCTCCTGCCTCAACCTCCTACGTGCTGAAATTCAGGGATGTGCCATCGTGCCCAGATTAAAAGTTTACTTTAAACACAAAGGTCCCTTCCAGAAACCTGCCAACTTTATGTACAGTGACAGTCTGTAAACCACCTTACACAGATAAGCAAAATTCTGTGCTGCGAGGATAGGGATGCTACACAAGCAAGGAAATCCTTTTCAGGCAGCACCAAAAGATTTTAAGCAGCAAGATACTCCTAAACCTGGTACAAGAATCAGCTTTGCAGCTACTTCTTTGGAACAACACATCAGAGGCAGCATGGTGTTAACAGTTGCTGTGAAACATGAATTCACACTGTCTAGGAGATGAATCTATCACATCCTAAGCTTGACAAACTCCTTTACCTCTCTATTTTAGACTACAGCAAAATCCTCACAGTTACTCTGAAGATAGGAGTTCATAAACACTCACAACAGTGTTCAATTCCAGTGAGTCCCATCTGCTGGGAGTGGTGTTTGGAAAGTGACGTAAGTTCAAAAGGACACCTTCCTAGAGGAATTCTGAACAGTGCCTCCAGAGGCCACCGTGAAGTACACATTCAGGGGGGCCCGCACTGCGTGCGCGCGCACACACACACACACACAAGTTGAAAAAGTTCTAAAGTCTCGTGGTCTTCACCACCTGTATCCTTCTTTGGACATTTAATATACACAAGCTATTACTAGTTCACACATAAAAAAATCTCCAGCTAGACTAACTTACAGTAATAAGAGATCATAAATTATTTTCTCATATCCAAAATAGTGCCTAAAAAGTAACATTTAATAGTACCTGAAAAATAAAACATTTAAAATTCCAATTACAAAGAAAATTACTTTTATTCTACAAAAGATAGTGGCAATTGTAAGAAACTTTCAAATGAAAATTTTTATTTAGATACAAATAACTAGTTAAAGCCAAATCTGTTTTTCTTTTTGGGATCAGTAATGAGGCTAGCACACAGTGTCTGGGTGTGGTCCCTTTGCTTTTCGGCTCAAGGCTGGCACTCTACCACTAGAGCCACATCTCCACTTAGGGCTTTTTGGTGATTAACTGGCAATGATAATCTCACAGAAGTTTCTACTTGGGCTAGTGTCAAAGTGCAACCCTCAGATCTAAGCATTCTTTTTTTTTTTTTGTTTTGTTTTAGGATTGTCTGGGTAGCTTTTTTTTTTTAATTTTATTTTATTTGTGAACATACTGTACAGAGGGGTTACAATTGCATGGGCAGGATAATGCGTACATTTCTTACCAAGCATTGCAGCCTCCTCCTTTGTTTACCCTTCCCATCCCTTCCCAGCCTCCCCCCTCCCCCCATCCCAATCCTTCTAGATCTAAGCATTCTGAACAGCTAGGATTAGAGGTGTGAGCCACTGGTGCCTAAGACAAACCCTTAACAGGATAAGCTCCTAAGAAAATTTCAGTTGAAAAGGGAAGACGAGTCTTCTGAGGTAGAATTAGACCCTTGCAATAATTAAGCCTACTAAGCATCAAATAACTTACCATCATTGGGCATGGTGAGAATGGGGATCTGAGTGATAGAGCCATTTCTCCCTTCCACTCGGCCAGCACGTTCATATATCGTGGCTAAATCTGTATACATGTAGCCTGGGAAACCTCGTCGACCGGGGACCTCTTCTCTGGCTGCTGAAACCTGACAGTAAGCCAAGAAGAAAAATACTATGAGCCAAGATAGAAGTTCCACTAGCGTGTGCCTTTTGACTGAATATGCCAAATCACTAAGTTCAGAATTTCATACTGTCATAAAGTGATGATGGAGAAGTCTATTAGAAACGTAAATTCAAGTTCATCTGTATAAAAATGCTGACGAGCATTTTTCTAAAATTATATTGCTGTAATATAAATTCTCAAATAGTTTTCTAAAAGAAAATTCAGTTACAGTTTTATAAATTAAAGGAAGTAAATTCTAAAACAGAGATTCTTTGTAAGAATTACTTCCTGATGCAGACTAGCCTTTTGGGGGGTGGGGGGGAAGGGTCAGTCGTGGGGCCTGAACTCTGGGCCTGGGCACTATCCCTCAGCTCTTCAGCTCAAGGCTAGTGCTCTACCACTTAAGCCACAACGCAGTACTGTTTCTAAATATATATGGTTTCCTGAAGAAATATGTTCCAAAGACAATGCTGCCAGACTCTTTATTGAAATATCATTACTGGGGCTGGGAAGGTGGCTCAGTGCTAGAGCGCTTGCCTTGTGTGCCTGAGGCCCTGGGTTCGATTCCCCAGCACCACATAAGCAAAAAGAAAAAAAGCCGTAAGTGCTGTGGCCCAAGAGGTAGAACGCTAGCCTTGAGCTGAAGAGCTGAGGGACAGCGCCCATGCCCAGAGTTCAGGCCCCACGACTGGACCCCCCCAAAAAAAATATTGGGAACTTTACAAAGATAGCCCTGAAAATTAATTCGTGAAAAAGTCACCTCTCGAAGTGCTTCAGCGTAAGAGCTCATGTCCGTCAGGATAACCAGTACATGTTTCTCACATTGGTAAGCAAGAAACTCCGCTGTGGTCAGAGCCAGGCGAGGAGTGATAATGCGCTCGATACTGAAAGGCAAAGCGATCCCGAGTCACTCAAACCAAAAGTACAAAGAGAACACAATCCTAGAATGGTAGCAGTTTCTCTTTTCAACTTGTTAATAAGTTGAGGAGAGTACAGCAATGACTTTAAAATTCTGGTCTGCTTGTGTTATTTTCTAGTTACTTTAAAATTCTTGTCCGTTAATTTGAGTACTTACATAAGAATTACTTAATGTTACAAAAATGATTATTTTATAAACGCTCCATAATTTGTCAAAGCTATATACAGTTCCTCAAAACTGATGGGGAATGGTGAGAAAAGGAAGGAATGAAAAAACAAGCCACATTTTTCAGATAAGAATGTTACTTATTAGGTATCACTTATATGCTAATATGTACATATAGAATCTTGTTTAACATTTGTAGCAACCCTGGAAGACAAACATTTGTCACATTTTATGAGCTTCAGTGTCTAGATAATTTGAGCAAAGCCAAAAGAACTCCCAAGAGGTGAGGCTGGAATTTAAATCTAAGGTCTCTTCATTCCTAAGCCAATGAGCTTTCATTGTAATATTTACCTCCCTAAACTTCTGGGGGTAAGAATTAGTATTGTTTCTAATACACCTGGTTTCCTTAAGGAAGAAAAGAGCAATGCTTTTGGTTTGTGTGTGCCAGTCAAACTCAGGAGCTAGGTGCTGTCCCTCAGCCTTTTTCTGCTCAAGGCTACCACAATCACTTCAGTGACAGCTCCACTTATCAATTTTCTTTTTCTGATTAATTGGAGATAAAAGAGTCTTACAAAATTTCCTGCATGGGCTACCTTTGAACTGCAACCCTCAGATTTCAGCCTGCTGAGTAGCTAGGACTACAGGTATGAGCAACTAGCACCCAGCTTCAGGTAACACTTTTGGTTGGGTGAACAGAAAGAGCTCTATATACTTACGTTGGGTCATTAGCCAGGTTCAAAAAGAGGCAGACGTTGTCCATTGAGCCATTTTCCTCAAAGTCAGATTTGAAGAACCGGGCAGTTTCCATGTTTACCTAAACAGCAATATCTCATCAGTGTTAGAAGAAAAGTTCCCAACATTTATTTTAGATGATGACTTTCAAACAGATAAATGTCAAGCTATGGATCTAAATTGTTCCCTCTAGTAAAATTTGAAGAACCCACAAACTTTTCACAAAAGTTAACTGAGTAAGATGTTTTAGGCATGAAGAACAGTAGTCTTTTTTTTTCCTTTTGTGCCACTCTAAATGCTGTACACAGTGCCTCCATTTTGGGCTTTTTACAGGTTAACTGGAGATAAGAATTTCACAGATGTCTGGCTTTGAACCTTGATCCTCAGACTGAGTTAGGATTATATGTGTGAGCAACCAGTATATGGTTATAGATTATTCTTAAATTTTAGTGAAATGCTAAATTTTTAAAAATATTTTTTTATTTTTTATTGTAAAGATACTATACAGAGGGTTACAGTTACATGAGTAAGGTAATGAGTATACTTCTTATTGAGCATTGTTACCCCCTCCATTATTTTCCCCCACCATCCCTTCCCTCCCTACCTTTCCCAAGGTTCTTTTTTTTTAATTGTGATTAAGTGATTACATAATTTCCCGAATTTCACAGTATTGTGGAATAATGATGCTCATTTAAAATCACAAGTTCATTCTAACTTTCCTGGAGCAAATTGTCTATCACAGTCTATAACATATAACGGTGTACACAAATACACCATATATGTGATCAGCAGAAATGCTAAATTTTTAAGTCTTAGTTTGGCCCCAAATCTGGAGACAAAGTCAAAGTTTACTACACTTCTCTAACAGCACAATAATATTGCAATGTGTTATTACACATAATTTTATACAAAATACCAAACAGAAAGCCTATACTTACACCCATAGCAGCAAATACAATTGCAAAATTTTCCTCGCTATAATCCATCACATCTTTGGATTTCTTTACCAAACCTGCCTGGCGGCAGATTTGAGCTGCAATCTGATAAGAACAAAAAGAACTGAGTTGAAAACTAAAAATTTCTACAACAAAATAACATATCTTAACTTTCTAAAAGCTAGAGTTATTAAATAAACTGGAGAGTTTGAGGACTTAACAAAACTTTCTGCAATATTTACAAAGACACATTAAGTATAAGCAATAAGCCAATAATGAATGAATAAAGACTCAATGCCACCGGTTTACATAACAACAATACTGGGTATCTGTCTGGTTTCTCAATAACAGTGATACATTTAGAAATTCTTCCCAGCTAAAAACTTCATAGCTAGTACCCTAGTGCTTACCTCATTGTGTGGTAACCCTGCAGCAGAGAAGATAGGAATTTTCTGCCCTCTAGCAATACTGTTCATGCCATCAATGGCAGAAATGCCAGTCTGAATCATCTCCTCTGGATAAATCCGACACTGAGGATTGATTGGCTGACCTAATGTATTTCCCAAAGAGAAAACTTAAATCTCAGAACATTCATTGTGAATGGAAGTAGAAACTCATCAAATTAAAAAACACCAGAATATTACAATTATTATAAAGCCTTTTTCTCTCTACTTTAAAAAACATTATTTTTGAAACGAAATAATTTTTCCCTTTAGTCCTCTGTAGACTAATATTCACTAATAAAATTCAAGTTAGTGGAATACACTAAGGGCATAAGAAAATAAGAGAAAGAAGTTCTAATTTCAAAGCTATGATTTTTACCATAAATATCTGGATCTCTTCTAGTAGTATTTTATAGTATTCTTAAGATACTGCGTAAGTTTCTAGAAAATTTCTAGGAAAAACTAATTCATTACATAACTACCTAATTTATTACCCAAGGAGAACACTGATTATCTACTTAAAACAACAATACAAAAACCATGCTGTCCCTGGCAAAGCCACCAGACAGACAGAGGTACATTTTCCCAAACAGAATCCATCCAATGTCCCGACCCACCAGATAGACAGAGGTGCATTCCCCCAAACAGAATCTATCCAATGTCCCTACCCACCAGATAGACAGAGGTGCATTCCCCCAAATAGACTCCGTCCAATGTCCCTACCCACCAGATAGACAGAGGTGCATTCTCCCAAACACAGAATCCATCCAATGTCCCTACCCACCAGATAGACAGAGGTGCATTCTCCCAAACACAGAATCCATCCAATGTCCCTACCCACCAGATAGACAGAGGTGCATTCTCCCAAGCACAGAATCCATCCAATGTCCCTACCCACCAGATAGACAGAGGTGCATTCTCCCAAACACAGAATCCATCCAATGTCCCTACCCACCAGATAGACAGAGGTGCATTCTCCCAAACACAGAATCCATCCAATGTCCCTACCCATGATATCAAGGAAGTCTTCAGCTAGCACCACGGGACCTCTGTCAATGGGCTTTCCTGATCCATTGAACACTCGGCCTGCAGATAGTGACAACACAGCACAGAGGACTCTGATGTTTAAATAGCCTTTTTTTGTTTTGTTTTGTTTTAGATTTTATAGAAATTTATTCAAAATAAACAGATCTCTGCCCAGAAGGAATAATATCCATTTACCAAGCATATCCTCAGACACCGGAGTTCGGAGAATATCCCCAGTAAACTCACAAGATGTTTTCTTGGCATCTATACCTGAAGTACCTTCAAATACCTATCAAGAAAGAGAATCAGAAGGGTAAAAGATTTAGCTCATGAGTACTTACTAGACAGACTAAGGGCTCTGCCTGCAAGTCAAATGTCACAAGCAAACTAAGGATGCTGCTTACATTTATAGAAGACTGTTGAAAGAAAAAATGGAAATGAAAGAACAGAAGGATGAATTGGAGGCATGGCTCAAATGGTAGAGTGTTTACCTCCAGGCACAAGGCCCTGAGTTCAACTCCAGTGTCATTAAAAAAAAAAAAAAGGAAGAAAACCTGCAGGACTTTAGGTGGCCCTATACAATCTAAAATATTTACCTTTTGGACCCTTACAGAAATTCTGTTAACTCCTGCTCTTAGTGAACACCTTATTTGAGAAAAATATTTTCATACTCTGGTAACATTATAAACTTGGAACTTCAAGAGGTAACTTTACAGGAATCGATTCAGCTATTGTTTTGGTTTCATCCAGTTATCAGTGAACTCTGCTTTTTAACTCTCTCCTTTGATGTGACTCCCCATGTGTTTCTAATTATCAAAGAGCTAAATTGGCCAAGCTGTTAAAGTGATACGTACCTGAACTACTGCTTTGGAACCACTAACTTCTAGAACTTGCCCGCTTCTCTTTGTGCCATCTGGTAATGTCAAGTGAACAATTTCAGCGTATCTGGGAAACTAAGAAGAAAAGAACAGAGGATCAACCACCAACTTTTTAAAAGCTCCCAAGCAATCATCTATGCCATCTCCACTGGCCACAGTGTGCTGCTGTGTAGTGTGCAACCAATCCTCCCATCCTCCACACCACGCAGCTTTAGGTAGAGAGGTTACACTCACCTCAGAGGCTGTTTTTAAGACACACACCCCTGACACATTGTACTGGCCAACACAGCACAAAGTACAGAGAAAAGGGTTTTGAACTTGTGAAAACATGACAGTTAAATTTACTGCTTTCTCTCTGAGGTCATGTTTTTAAGGTTTGTGACTATAGGAAGTGATGTATACCTCCTAGGATATGTGTTATACATAGGAGGATAAAATATTAGTAAAGAAAACTACTATCATAGTAAAATAATGTCCAATACCTCTCACAATCTAGCTCTCAATGTATATGGATCTCCTCTTAACTCATTTAAGAACAGATGTCTCCAAAAATACATGGGTTTATTTACTTCCATGGTGATATAATAAATACGCATAATTTTCAAATCGCTAAAGGTAATGTATTCATGTTGATATTTTTTTATATATTTTTATTGTGAAAATACTGTACAGAGGGGTAAGATAATGAGCACATTTCTCATCAAGCATTGTAGCCTCCTGCTTTGTTTTCCCTTCCCATCCCTTCGTATCCCCCCCCCGTCCCCCTCGTCCCCCCACACCAAAGTTGTAAAGTTCGTTTTTCGACATATCATGTTGATATTTCAAGCTGTCAAAATAATCTATTGAAAGATACAACACTATTTGTATAACATGGGAAAAATGCTAAACTATTGCACACCAGCAATTTTAAGATCTATGGATTCTGAAATGTTAAAAACTGAATTGGTCAGATGTGGTGACTCATTCCCACAATCCTAGCCATCAGGGACTGAGGCATAATGACCATGAGTTCCAGGTCAACTGAATTGACATAGCCCCCCAAATAAAACAAAATAGTGAATAAATGAAATGGGAAAGCAATTAGATAGTTTTAACAAGACCTAATGGCCATATTCCATTACATTCAGCTGTCCAACCAGTGACGTACAGGTCCACGTTGATAACTCGTACGTAATGGTCTAACACCCTCTTGCATGTGGTTCCTCATGAAAGTTGGTGGTCTGCATATAGGCTGTACCCATTTTCTGCCTACTTAGTCTGCAAAAATACTGATGCATTACTTTATAATCTCCCCATTTGTATTAACAAGTATCCCCTTTCCCTCTATTTTTGACAATCTTGCATTTTCTCCATTTCTAAGCATTTTATAGTCAGGATATTAATCTTCTACTAGTTTGCTTCTTACCCTTTAATTTTGTTCATGGCTTCTTATATCACACATAAGTTTTTAAACCTCCTATGAAAACAAATTAACTGCTGTCCTTTATGATTTATACCTTTTGTATCTTGCTTAGGAAAACCTTTTACTTGAAGTCATAAACTCTTCTTTTAATAGGTTTATGTTTAGTACAAGCCCTTAGTTCACCTGGATTTGGAGGGTTTACTTTATTTCTTATTATTTTTCATTGGAGAAATGAACATTGCTAACAATATTTGACTACAATAAAGTGTCTCCATTGCCCATAATACCAAATTTACCAAGTCAAAACCTCATGTGTACTGGACAGTGGCTCACATCTGTAATACTAGCACTTGAGAGAGTTTATGGCCATCATGCACTATAGCCATCTTTATCTCAAAAGAAGACAGTCAGTTTGGGGTTCTTAATTCTGTCCCACTGAAATGCTTATTCCTGCAGTAATTCCTGATGCTTGATTCCTCCACCCTCATTGCACTACAACTGGAGTGGAATTTCTAAAAGTTTGAAGTCTTCTGTAAGGCCTTTCCATAAAGTTTTACAGCTTGTTGCAAATAGTTCCATCTGCACACAGGACACAGGTGATTTCTGTTTGTTTTTTGGTTTTTTTTTTTTTGGGTCCGGTTGTGGGGCCTGCACTCTGGGCCTGGGCGCTGTCCCTCAGATCTTCAGCTCAAGGCTAGCACTCTACCACTTGAGCCACAGCGCCACTTCCGGCTTTTTTCTTATGTGGTGCTGAAGAATCGAACCCAGGGCCTCAAGCATGCAAGGCAAGTGCTCTACCACTGAGCCACCTTCCCAGCCCCGACACAGGTGATTTCTATAGTCTGACCCATATGTGCTGTTCTGTACCATTACTTCTAACAGTTCGCCAGTGACTGCCCTAGGTTTCAGTGTAATTATATAAAGAAATAATGACAGCATTCCTTTTAACTTCTAACTTCCTTTATACTCTTATTTTCTAAAGGAAATTACTAAGTTGCAAATACAAAGCTGAACAGTGATCGTGACAATAGACATTCTCAATTTGTGGTGATTAGAGAAATATATATTTGGTCAATAAGTCTTGGCCAGAGTACCTGAAACCCTTGTCGTTTCTTTATAGGAGAAAAAAGGTAAAAGGTCTTCTACTTTTTATAATGAATGGAACTTTTATAATGAATGGGAGAAAAACCCATACACTTTAGTGTTAGAACCCACATACTTCAGTGTTAGAAGTACCAAGAATAGTAACAGGAAGAAAATAGGAGTTCTCACTGATTTAAACAAACAAGTATGTTATTTGCTGTTAGGTTGTGGTGGATACTTGCTCCTTTTTCAGTATACACACACACACACACACACAGGCACACAAGAAAGAAAAGAAAAAGAATTTAGGAATCTTTGCTAATAAGGGAAAACAGCTCTATTTTTCTGTTCTAATATTACCCTCTGGTTTTAGAATTCAACACAGCTAACTTCATGCAGTGAGCTAGAAAACCTCTCTCCATCTTCTATTCAGACAGAATTTCTGCATAATTCTCTGTTCCTTGATATTAAGTGCATGGTTTAAATTAAAACAAACTAAAAACTAAAAACAAAACAAAAACGCCCACTCTAAGTCTCATTATATAAAATGGTATTTTTATAACATAAATTTAATAGCATTTCCTCACCTACACTTTACCACAAAATAACATTCAAGGAAACTTTTTAGTTCTCTTATAATTACTTTCCCAGAGACATTTTCTGTGTCTTTTCTGTTACTGTCTTCAACATCATCTGAAGTTACCTTTTGCAGCACTTACAAATTACACCTCCAAATATTTATATATGCCTTTCTACTAGATTCCCTCCACTGGAGGAGGGCCTGTGCTGACTTCAAAGTATAACAGAGATGAATTCAAATATATTTCAATAATACACTTACTAATCTATGAAAACTTTAATGTTTTAAAACATGAGCCCAAAAGTTTATTTAGAGAATATAGAAAATAAGAAAAACAAAATAAACCTGGTATGCTGGTGGCTCACACCTGTAATCCTAGCTACTCTGGAGGCTAAGATCTGAGGAACGCAGTTCAAAGTCAGCCTAGACAGGAAAATCACTCAAATTCTTTATCTCCAATTAACCACTAGAAAGTAGAAGCTGGTAGAGGGAGTGGAGCTGTGGCTCAAACTGGTAGAGCACTTGCCTCGAGTGAAAAAGCTCAGGGACAGTGCCTAGGCCCTGAGTTCAAGCCCCAACTGACAGAAGAAAAAGAAACAAAAGCTTCAAAATGCATTCTTCAAAAATAAAGTGGGGTTGAAGATTTTCTCAGTGGTAGAACGATCAGGGCCTAGTAAGCATGGGCTCCAGGTTCAATCCCCAACACCAAAAAAAAAAAATAAATAAAAACACTAAATATTAACAGGGCCTAAATCCTGTAAAACCCAAGTGCAAACATGGAGTCACTGATCAATCTGCAGATGGGACAGAATTGTGGTAGGAAGTAATCTTGCTAGGCTTAATCTCAAGATTATTTTGCAAAGGTTCCTGTCAAAAAGATTAGTGAAATTTTTTTTTTTGTACTAGTACTGGGGCTTGAACTCAGGGCCTTCTATTTTCACTCTGTTTTCTGGCTCTGAGTTGACTTTCTACCACTTAAGTCATATCTCTGTCTGCAGCTTTTTGCTAGTTAACTGGAGGTAAGTCTCCTAGATTTGTCTTTGTGGGCTGGCTTTGAAACACAGTTCCCAGATCTCAGCCTACTAAGCAGCTAGGATTATAAGTATGAGCCACCAGTGTCCGCCTGCCCTTTCTTTTCAGAAATGTTTCTGTTTGTTTTTGGGTTGGGTGGGTGAGTGAGACTTGCTAAAGATACACCTGTTATTGAAGTCTGCCACAGTAATAGCAACCTATGTAGAATCACCATTCTAGAAAATACATTCTATGTATTACGTGGGGGGGGGGGTCGCGCGTGCACGCACGTGCGCTCACATGCATGCATACTTTTATTTAGCAGTACTGGGGTTTGTATTCAGGCCTTGGTGCTGATGAGGCAAACTATCACTATTTCGATCACAGAGCTCAGACAGGAAGCTTAGCCCAAGGTATTTAATTATAAAATATATTTTATTTCTCCCTTTCTCAGATATAATTATAATTATGTATAGGCAAAAAAAGTTAGGTAAAGATCTGTAGATAAAATGAATACAAATGTTGCTTTAGGGTTTTAGTTATTATTGAGATAACCTATTTTTGTTTGTTATTTGAAGAACAACGTCAGGCTTTTGAAAATAAAAGCAACAATGTTTTCTTACTCGAGCTTAACATTTAGTAAGAAACAAGAAAAGCTATGAAAAGAACTAGAACATATGGCACACTACCATCAAGAACAAAAGCTATCATATGTATATATAATACATATACATATATACACTATCCTATATTATACAGATTATAAAACACTAACATTATTGTTTTCCCTTTCTTCCAATGAGGGACTCAAAAGCCACAACCACTACCACTAGTACCAAAATTCAGTTTTCTGACTTTTGATTTCAAATTCTTCTTGACATTTATATCACAGAATAGCTTAAAATTTTTAACAAGAGGTTCAAGTACATGAACAGGTTCTAATGCTACATTTTCAAGTATATCAGCAATCAGACTATATTTGACAGTAGTATTACCTTCACATGATCTAAGATGACTAGTGGACCATTCACTCCTGACACTGTCTTGTATGCTGGAAGAAACAAGAAAAATCAGCTTTAGTGAAATGCATAAAAGCCTACATTGCCTGTCTGGTAGCACCCAAACTTCTCTGCTTATTCTATTATCACAATATGCAACACTCAAATAGCTACACAAATTTTCAATGAATTTGTAAAATATGGTGCTTCCTGAACAATATTTTTTTTTGGTTTGGTTGTGGGGCCTGAACTCAGGGCCTAGGTGCTGTCCCTCAGCTCTTCAGCTCAAGGCTAGTGCTCTACCACCTGAGCCACAGTGCTACTTCCAGCTTTTTCTGCTTATGTGGTGCTAAGAAATCAAACCCGGGGCATCATGCATGCAAGACAAGCGCTCTACCACTGAGCCACCTTCCTAGCTCACTTTCTGAACGAATTTTATAAACCATCTGAACGTTCTAAGTCCTACTAGAACGAAGTCATTTTCTCAGAATCAAGGACACTAAAACAAAGCAGAGAGGCTGCCCGCCTTTAGAAGTTCAGTTTCAAAATAAAATAGCTAGTAGCATGGCTCAAGCAGTAAAATGTTAAGTCTAGCATAGAAGCCCTGCATTCAATCCCTGATAAACACACCAAAAAAACAAAAACAAACAAACAAACAAACTAGAAAAAGTCCAGTTGTCCTATGATTGTGGGGAGGACTTCAACAGGACAAAGCAAGGGCTGTACCCACAGCATGCAGAGCGTTCCTGGAGACACAGCAAAACCAGAATGACAGTTCCTTGTCCTGGAAAGAACAGGAAAAGCTTTGCAGGAGAGATAGAACTTAGCTAAGTAGATGAGGGAAGGAAAGGGAATCCTTAACAAGTTAAAGCAGAAGACAAAAACTCACAACTGGCACCAAGAAACTGGCCTGCAGGGCTATGGTAGAGGAGCCTGTTTAGGAAGGGTACACAATGGACCAAAGGGTTAGCTATAATAAGCTCAGCTATTTGGGAAGGTGAGGAGCAAGAATGGCTAGTTTGAGGACAGCGTGCACAAATAGGGAAACTCCATTTCAAAAAGGCAGGCATGTGTAGGGTTATCAAATGTTATCTTCAGGTTAAAGAGAGAACTATTATTCACTACACCAAGTTGCCCTAGAAATAAATTTCTAGATTATTCTCCCGTTCATTTAAAAAGGAATGGTCCTTTCTGGTAAATATAATGGCCATTGGGTATAACACACACACACACACACACACAATTTTGTAACCAGAACAACACACACACACAATTTTGTAACCAGAACAACACACACACACACACAAAATTTTGTAACCAGAACACACACAAAATTTTGTAACCAGAACAGCTAAAGAACACAAGATAAACTTTTGAAGCAAATGTACTACAAAGCCCAACATTATTTTTATGAAACTGTTAACCAATCAGGAATCTTTCATTTGCTTGATTTCTTTTGAAGTCTTCTAACGAACTTGGACAGACATTCCAGCACAAATATGAACAACCAAGAATGAGGAAACCATTTAAGAACCAGTCTGTCTACCCAAGGGCCTTCAGATTTTTTAAGTGACAACTTTTCCAGCCCAAGGCCAGAAAGCAAACAAATGCTTTGGTACAAACACAATCTGAAAAGTAAGCTATCTAAACAGATGATAGTATAAAAGATCAATTTTCCCCTAAGGTATGGTACATTTTCATGGCACACTAGCGGGAAAACGCCCAAACTGCTGTAAAATACGCCCAATACAGCTGTAAAAACCCAGATTTAAATTTCCAAAAACTTCATTATTCTTATTCAAAAAGATTGTAAAGATAGCTGAGCACCAGTGGCTCATGCCTGTAATCCTAACTCTCAAGAGGCTGAGATCTGAAGGTCATGGTTCAAAGACAGCCCAGGCAGGAGAGTCTGTGAGATTTTTATTTCCAATTCTCTACCAAAAAAGCCAAAAATGGAACAGTATTTCAAGTAGTAGAGCAATAACCTTAAGCAAAAAAAGTTTAAGGATAGTGCCCAGGCCCTAAGTTCAAGCCCCAGGACTGGCAGAATGGAAAGGAAAAAAAAAAGACTCCAGACCATCTATGTTCAATGACTTTCTGAAAACTTGCATGTGGAAATACAAAGTGAGCTACACTAGAAATGGGTCTTCTTAAAGCTCAGTGTGGGAAAATAACAAACACAAGTTTTTCAAACTCTTACTTAACTAATGAGGAATAGGGGAAGGAATTTAGTTTTAATATTTACAAGTAATGCACATCATCAAAATCCCACAACTTCTGATAATTATTTTATTCAACAAGACAGTTCCTCCTTTGAATTCTAATATACAACAACTATGCCTCAGAATCTCATGTTTAAAACTGAAACTCATTCCAACCTATGAAGTTTTGCCGGTCACAAGCAAAAAGCATGACCAAGAAAAAGAAGTATTAGTCATGGCTGTTCCTGGAAACAGTGAATGGAATGGGATTCTACTATGGAAGACAAGTTTCCACTTAATCAAGAGACTGCACATAACCCTTTCAAAGCCAGGAAATAAACCTCCTATGTTTAAGTGATTAAACATCAACACCTGCAAAGAGTGTTTCTCAGGAACTCTCACCTCCATCACACACCTGTGGGTTGGCTATTATTAGTCTAAGTTTTACAAGAGAATAAATTATTCTCAGAAAAACAAAGTACTTTGCCCAAGGATCAACCTGCAATCTGTCTCCATCTAGTCATCTGACCTTTACTTCTACTGCACCTACATTCTAAAACCAAACAGGTTTCTCCTTTTTGTTTTTATGATAAAGTATATGCTACTACTTATTAGCAAACCATGTAACACTATCACACGAAATAATTTCATAAACCTGTAACTTTAGCTAGGAAAATGATAAATTTTTACTTTTCCTACACTGGACAGTATTTTCCTGTGTCCACTTTTTTTTGGGGGGGGCGGGGGGGAGTCCGGTCCTGGGGCCTGAACTCTGGGCCTGGGCGCTGTCCCTCAGCTCTTCAGCTCAAGGCTAGCGCTCTACCACTTGAGCCACAGCCCCACTTCTGGCTTTTTTCGTTTTGCTTATGTGGTGCTGAGAAATCGAACCCAGGGCCTTAGGCATGCAAGGCAAGTGCTCTACTACTGAGCCACCTTCCCAGTCCCCTGTGTCTACCTACATTTTGTTCTCACTACAAAACCATCTGTCTACAGCGGAGTCATTGCTACTAAAGAGTTTAAACAGAGAACAAGTATGTGATGGAGAAGCTGGGTGCTGTTTCCCCTCACTGGCAATCAAGAGAAACATCAGGAGACTATTCCTACTACAAATCAGAGGGGATTCTGGCTTATATTAAGCTGCCATATAAAAACCAAACCAATAAATTTTATAACCCAAACTAAGTGAAAATACTACCAAAGTTTTATTTGAAGAGCACACAAAGTTTTTACAAAGTGGGGGCACCAGCTTGTATCTTCACAGAATGCTGAGGTACACAAGGCTGGAACAACCTCATGTCACATTTAAGGAAAGCCTCAAGAAAGTCTATTACCAAATGGAGGCCAGGCTGGCTAACAGTTTTGTTTTGCTCTTCTTTAATTACAAGGTAGCAGGTGCTCCTCTATGACACTTCTGACCCTAATTCACAGTGTGATTTTAAAATACAGTGATCACAATTCCTAGCATTAGACTTCATTAAGTTGTTCTTCAAAACCCATTCACAGGGCTGGGAAGGTGGTTCAAAGCTAGAGCGCTTGCCTTGCATGCATGAGGACCTGGGTTCAATTCCTCAGCACCACATAACCAGAAAAAAAAAGCCGGAAGTGGCGCTGTGGCTCAAGTGGTAGAGCGCTAGCCTTGAGCTGAAGAGCTGAGGGACAGCACCCAGGCCCAGAGTTCAGGCCCCACGATTGGACCCTCCCCCCCAAAAAAAACCCATTCATAAATTATTCTGTTGATCAAAGTCATCCTTCTCTTGAAAATTTCACAGGCACTAGAGTATATAGGTGGTATATAGAGGGTCATAATGCTGACAGCATAGAAGATAGGTGCTTACATCACATATTCAACACGTTTCACAAAGTCATATCTTTGTGAACCACAAAGCAAGCAATATTTATAAAATAACACTGGAAAAAAATTAAGACTTGAGTACATATTTTGTCAGATGACATCCTCTTCCTCCTGCAGAGTAAGAGACTGGAGATTGTTCAACACTAACACCCTTACTGATTGTGACATATCCAAAGAAAAGAATTTGCAGCCATTGCACAATAAGCCCCAGTCCTTTATGCTCCACCTTCATAGGAAAACAACTCAGAAAGCATTTACCTTCTATTGTGCAAAAGAAGTAGAGGCCTCACTTCTAGCATTGGGTATCTAAGGGAGGTTTTCTTGAGAAAAAAAAAAGCAGATTTCTGGATTTGACTTTTTGGTAAGGCTTGCTCTACTTTATGATGTTAAAAAAACCACATGGCTAGTTCACCCATGTCTCAAGACAAAAGGAAATCATCAATTCAAAACATTTAGCGCTCACAGGGTCTATGGACTGACCTTTGATCAGAGCTTTTTTAATAAAAGCAAACCTCCTTTTCCTGTGATTTTAGAAACTAAAGCCTTCAGGACTATTAATTTCAAGTATGACTATCTTATTTTCGTTTCTTTTTAACAGCCCTACACTCCCCAACTTGTTTTTAAGTTGGATCTAATTTGTAACTGTTGATATTACTCTATTCCTTAATTCAAAAGCACACCGTAACAGTAATTACTTAGTATCAACATTTATTTAAAAGAAATTAAGATATTATTCAGGAGTATTTAAATCTGTTATAAAAATACAGCAAAAGAGGAAAACAATGCTCAAATGTAGTTAAAATGGATGTTGGCTTACGTAGGATATCACATAATGCTTTTTGGGAATAATTCCTAGAAGGGAAATTCAGTTTGGCCAGATACTGTAACTCTGCACTCTCATCCCATTCATTCAAACTATTCGCACAGAGATTTAAATTATGCTATACAAGAGTTGTAGAACACTTGTGAGGCACAGAGATGCAAAAGGATCCCCATGGTAAGCACTGCAATTTTTGTGTCAGCAGGAATCTCCCTGGAGGCTTCAGCCACTTGCACAGGACATGGAAAAACCATACTATCTCCCTGAAGGGCTTACCACTTTAATCATGGTAACCACGGTTTAAACAAGATCATTATTTCAGCTGATAGGTGACAGTGAATGAAGGATTGCATGGAAAATGACTACTGTACCCTGAATTCCTTTTTCTACAAGCAACATCAGTGTAGAAAAACTGTCTTGCCCAAAGAAAAGATCACAAATGCAACTCAGGAAAGAAAGAACATTTCTAATCTTTAGGAATAAACTTGCTGTCAAGGTTTGGGTAAGAATGCAAGAACTGCCCATTTCTAGACATCATGTAAGTTCCCGCTCCACTCTCTTAATTCAAAGAATCGTAAAAATGCACATCTCAGCAATCCGCAAGCTCCAATGTTTTCCTCCTTCCTCACACTGCAGTGCCTGTCACATGACCCACTGACAGATCAGAAAAGGATTAGTCAGGCTGGAGAGCGCCCCACTAAAACCCTTCATCTTTCAACCAAAGAGCCACCCACAAGCAGACAGGCTAGCAATTAACCAGTGCAAATGCAACAACAGATACACCTGGGGGAAACACCAGGTACTTTGCCAAGTTCCCCTCCTTCCCCCCACGTTGTTTTTTAAGTCTTATTTCTAGGGCTCATCCTCAGTACCCGGGGAAACAGTTTAAAAAAACAAAAAAAGGTTTGATGCTACCGGACTGTAACCTCCAGTAATGAAGAACCATTTCTCGTTGCAACCGCCGAGCTCTTTACTCAAACCCGGTAGATGAAGGCCACTCTGCTATCATCACAATGTGATCCTGAAGCCTCCCCACACAGCCTAGATACTGGCAACTCTCCTTCGTGTTCCCAAAGCACCTCGCACTCAGCCAACTTTCGTTAGCTGGTTAAGAGTAAGCGAAGAAAAGCACCTGGGGGTCGGGGGGGGGGAGTTTCTCCTACATTGGGGGGGGGGCAGCACTTGGGTTTCTGCTCCTGCTGGGAGGGGGGGAGGGGAGGGCAGGGGGAGGATCAGCCGAAGCAGCAGCAGCAGCAGGCTGGGTGCTGAGCTCCGGCTCCGGCCACCCCGGCGGTGCCGGGCCCCGGCGCCGCTGAGCCCAGCACCACCTGTAAAGTGAGAGGGCTGGACTGGATGCCCGGCCCGGTCCCTGGCAGCCCCGCGGACCATCTCGGGTATCTAGGCGTCCCGGGGTGGGGCGGCAGCCCCCCCCCCGGCTTGCCTCCCCCCCTCGCTGGGAGGCGGGCCTGCCCCGCACCCGGCCCAGGCCCGACCACGTCAGCGAACGCACACCACCGCTCTCCGCGGTCCACCCGGTGAGGAGCGTGCAACCTGCCCGGGTCCTCACCGGGGCGGCAAGCCCTCCCCCCCCCACTGTTCCCAGTGATGGGATCACTCTATACTCCTCCCCCTCCCCCCCCCCCCCCGGGGCCGAGCCGGGCCGAGGAGGTGGGAGGTGACGGCCGGGCCCGGGCAAGCTGCGGAGGGAGGCGGGGAGCCCACCGGCCCCGGGCGAAGTTCCCGGGGAGCCTGTGGCGAGGGGGGCCCGAGGGCCCCGACGTCACGGAAATGGGAGGTGCAGAGCCCCGCGGATCCACGCAGGGACGCGGGGCGGGAGGGAAAAACGAACCCCCCCCCTCCCCCGCGGGCCGAGCAGGTGAGAGGGAGCCCGGCGCTGGGCGAGGACGCGGGGACCCGCGGCCTCCTGCGGGCCGTACTCACTGAGGCGAGGCTGGGAGAGGTAGTTCCGGCTCGCCGCCATCACCTGCTCCCGAGCTCCCGCCACCGGCCCACTGGTGGGCACCGGTAGCTCGGGTGCGGCCCCGTTCACGATTCCCCGCATCGCCCGCAGCGCCATCTTGTCTCCTCCGTCCCGACTGGCCCGGCAGTCCGGGCCGCGCAGGCGCAGATATAGCGGGTCGGCCCCCCGCGCACCCGACTCCACCCATGCGCGCTGCGGAGCTCAGGGTTGGCTCCGCCCCCTTGACGACGCCACGCCCCCAGACTCGTGACTACTGGCTCCGCGTGGGCGGGGCTGTCGGCGCGCGGGAGAGGAGCTGACCAGCGTGCTGGGAGGGGGGGGGGTGAGGACAGGCGGAGGGAAGAGGGAAGGGACCGGGTAGAGAGAGGCTGGAGGAGAGGGTAGAGAGAACGAAGGATGCATTGGAAGGCAGGAGGCAAGCAGGCACGTGCAAGAAAACATCGACTGATGTGCACATTGGAATGGCCTTTCATGGTTGAATTGCATGAACTCAAGGAAACCACTGTGAGAAACAAGACCTGTCAAACCGACTCTGATTCACTGGCATGCTGTGCTGTAGGGGGCTTCAATTTACTCTTTCTCCCCTGGTTTGTTCATGTGTGTGTGTGTGTATACACATACATACATACACATATATATACATACATACACATATATATATATACAATCAGCAATCCTCTACTGGTTTATTTTACAGTGTTGCTACATGCGGAACAGATTTGAAAACAATTTAAGGGACAGAGCTAATATGGAATGAGTAGCTGGACACTGGATTGCGATGCTGTTTATGGAATGAGAACACACAGGAGAGACTCTTTGCTGGTGTTGGGGAAGGAAAAGAAAAAACAAAAAGTTCTGTGCTGACATCTGTTTTAAGGTCCTATGGGCTATTTGTAAGGAGGACCCAAGAAGAAACCTGGAACGAACTGAAATGAGATTTATCAGGTTGTTAATGTGGAGACAAACTGCAAAGATGTCCAAGGACAATTTTTGAGGGATCTTTAAAGTTAGGGGATGGATATATGAAGAGTATTCTGCTGCCACATTTGGAATGCTGTCAGAAACGGTGGGGATCCAGTACATATGTCCCACAAGCCAAAAGAAGAGAAAAATCCAAAGGACATTTTGTAAACACAGATGAGGAAGCAGATGCCCATTGCATTTGGTTGTTACAGGACTATTGTGATACGATGAAGACACTTGATGAAGAACGTTTGGAATTTTAGGGTTGGACTCTATACCGTGGTGGTATACCGGCTGAATATCCCTAATCCAAAAATCAAATCCCCAGAATGCTCTTAAATACAAACAATTTTGCATCCCAAGATGATACTACAGTGGAAAAATCTCACATCATGAAATTTCATTTCATGAACAAAATTATTTTAAATATTATATAACATTATCTTCAGAACTGGGCTTGGTAGTACATGTCTGTAATTCCAGCATTCAGGTGGCTGAGGCTGAAAAGGGAGAGAATTCAAAACCAGCCAGGGCTACATCAAAAGGCCCTATTTTAAAAAAACGTTACCTTCAGCCTATGTATATATGAGAAAGAAGTGAACTTTCTTTTCCATGTATACTTGATCCCACCTTCAAAATATCTCACAATAGATATGTACATTTACACAAAAAAAATCTGAGGTAAAAAAAAACACTTCTGGTCCCAAGCATTTCCAATAAGGGATACCTAATTGATATTATAAGTGAAATAAACATACTCAGTTACACTTAAAATCTGTCTTGGGTGCATCTCATTTCCATGTACTTAGGTATAATATCCCATTGTGCCTTTTGAATCATTTAAATCACACAGTTGAAGCAAGCATTTTTCTTTTAAACCAGAGTCTGAATATGTAGTCCAGGCTGGCCTTGAACTTGTAATTCTTGAGCCCTCAGCTTCCTGAGTGCTGGGTTATAGGCATGTGCCACCACACCTACTCAAAGCAAGTATTCTTTAACTATAAGTGAGATGGTGCATCATTCAGTATGCTATTTTTTTTAAAAGCAAAACAATAGGAGATACCATTATGCTTTTAGTTTATGAGAGTACAATTTTAGATTTAGTGTCTAAAGTTGTCAAGAAAGAACACAAAGAAAGAAGCATGTTAATACTTTATTCAATTAAAACGTATTGGTAAGAGTATAATTAGTATGATAAAAGAGCAATTTCGTAGTCCTATATTCAGAGAGTCTCGTGTAGGGTCGGAGATAGCACAGTATTGTGGTTTCAAGGCATGCACACTTGGGACAGAGTTCTTATTTCATTAGTTATATGACCTTGGACAAAAATGTTTTCTCTCTAGGACACATTTTTCCCATTCATAAAATGAGGATAAGCATATCATCTCCATAAAATTGTGGGATGCATTACAAAATGTAAAGTTGTTTTGTTTTTTTACATAGTGTGAGGGACTATATTGCTTAGCTGAGATGTTTACAGACTTTCATTGATTGATAAAACTTCTATGCATTATTTACTACAGGTGCCAGGCTCTTGCCTAAGAGCTAAATAGTATATCCCCCTAACTGATTTGTATTAAGCAGGTACTATAGCTTATAATCTTCTTTCTCCTCCTTCTCCTCCTCCTCCTCCTCCTTCTTCTTCTTCTTTTTGGTCAGTCGTAGGGCCTGAACTCTGGGCCTGGGCGCTGTCCTTCAGCTCTTCAGCTCAAGGCTAGTGCCCTACCACTTGAGCCACAGCGCCACTTCTGGCTTTTTCAGCTTATGTGGCACTGAGGAATTGAACCCAGGGCCTCATGCATGCAAGGCAAGCACTGTACCACTGAGCCACCTTCCCAACCCCCTATAGCTTATAATTTTCTATGTCATCTATTTAGAGCTTCTAGAAAGAGACCTTGTACATGACATATAATACCTACTAGATAAATGGAAATGTATTGCTCCTTGTTCTTCCACAGGGAGCAGTCACCTTACTCAGATAGTATACTGGTTATTGTCCTCTTCTTCTTTGTTGAGAATCTATCTTCTCTTTACGCTGAGAAATGCAAGGATAACTAGCCCTGGCAATAGGGAATGTGGGCAGAACAACAGCTTGGTTTCAGTGCTGGCTGTCCTTTTACCTGCTCACTGTGATCTTGGAGCAAGCCTCAATTCCTTCTGTCTCTTGGTCTCTTGGTCTCCATCACAAGCAGGCATCCTGCATTGGTCTCTCTGGGATTTCAAGGAAAGCTTGTCACAATCAACACATTAGAAATACATATTTTTATTCTCTTATTGCAAACATTTGTTGGGGAAGAAAAATAAGGAAGGAAAGATTAAGAAAAACTCATACCAGTGATCTAATTTTCCCACATAATATGCATCTGTCTTCATTTGTTAGAAAATTCTGTTCAAAGAAAATATCGAAAAGATGAACCACAGCAGGTTGAAGAAAGCAGTCAGTACATTTCTATGTGAGCAGCAGTAAGTCAATATAAAATCCTCAATGCAAAATTGTCACCATAAAGTAGGAGAGGAAGATAATTTTTTTCTTTGTTGTGTTGTCCATTTAAACAGGTATGAAGTGAGATTCTGATCTCTTCAAAACAGTCCTCTGATTCTATTCCAGTGTCTGTATTTCTTTCCTTGTCAGTGGTGTCAAAAACACATTGTGAAGTAGAGAGGCAACAGCAGAGGGCCCCCTATATTCAGAACAATGCTACTCAAGGCAGCAATGGGGAAAATTACACAGAACTGAATGTTCTTTCTATGTGAGGTGCCGTACATGGTATGACCATTATTATTGATATGTGAACACTCTCACCCAGAAAAATACTGAAGAGGAATATAACCTGATATTAACAGTGACTATTTCTGAGTTACTGTTTTATCATCCTCACGTTTGTCATTATTCTGCATGAGCATCCATTATACTTTTAAACCAGGGATATTAATGTGATTCTGTGTAAACAAAAAAAGATAGTTTTTGTTTTGACAGGCAGCAGGTTCTGTGGCTTGTGGTACAATAAGCACACAGTTAGGTAAATGAGAACCTGGGCCTTACAGAGTCGCTGGTCAAAGGTGGTGGTAGAACAGGTGACCAAGTCAGGATTAGATAAGAGCTCATTGTTTTCCTTCTGAGACTAAGTTTGTGATTGGGAGAGCTGGAATGGGCCTTAGGGATGGACTAAACTTATCTCTTCAATGTTCAGGCCAGGAAACAACTCAGGAAAGTAAAGTCATTTTCCTAAGGCCAGAAATGAGAAACTTGCAGTCTGTACTTCTCAGAAAAAAATCCATTGCTTCATCTAGTTCTGCCTCTGTTTCCTCTGAAAGAAGATAATTATGGAGCAGGGCATCAAGTAGCTCCTGACTGTAATTCTAGCTACTCAGGAGGCTGAGATCTGAGGGTTATGATTGAAAGCTAACCCTGGCAGAAAAGCCCATAGGATTCTTATCTCCAATTAACTGCTAATATAGCCAGAGTAGAGCTGTAGCTCAAATGGTAGAACTCTAGCCTTAAGCAAAAAACAAACAAACAAAAAACCCTCAGGGACAGTGCCTAGGCTCTGAGTTCAAGCCCCAGGACTAGTACCCTCTCCTTCCCCAAAAAGACATTTATCTAGTCTATTCTACTTCCATCTACAGGTCTACAGGAACTCTGGAAGACCATATTTATTCTAAGATAGGCAGTGCTCAGATCCTCTGAATCCAAGACCCAGGCTCTCTCCTGGAATCTGCCTGAAGCCCTTTCTCTGGTGTTAAACATGAACTAGGGATAACTGGGCTCACAGCATTTGATATTCTTTGGAAAAATTCTTGTTGGATCATCTCTGCTTTTCCGCCAGTTGCCCTGGCTATGTTCCTGTTTTGTCTCAATGTCTGAATCTCATTGCCCCAGATGTCTTCCTGCTTTGGCTTACTTAAGACTTACTAGAGCAGCAAATGTACTTGGTCAATGCTTTCTATGAACGGGTAAGTATTGAGTGAGCACCAGCAATAAGCTCCACAAGGTTGGGGCACTGGAGAAGCCCAAAAAGACTGCAGGACTTGTTCCTGCTCAGAATTGTGAAAACAAACACAACCCGCTAGAGGGAGTGGCTCAGGCTCATTCCTGACCAGCTCTGTGTCTCTAGGCCTATGTCATATCTTTAATGCAAAGATGATATTGCCTAGAAGTATATGATAGCTATGGAGCTCACACCTTAATGGTGGAGACAAGATTAACACACACAATGAGGCAGAAACAACATGCAAAACAGCATGTTAGGTTGTGTAACTTGGGAAATGTCAGCTAGGACTGAATTAAGTCAGCTGGTTGCTTCTGCTCCAATGGTGAAAGGCAAGGGAGACAGGCCTTGCAGTTAGGCATA